AGCGGGTGTCAGCGCTGGGCGGTGGGCGCGCGGCGGGAGGCGGGTCGAGGGCGCCCCTGCTGGTGGGGCGACGAAGGGGTAAAGCAAGCTGCCTCCCTGGGGCTGAAGCGGAACAGTGGGACATCTCCAGAGGTGAAGGGTGTGGGTGCTTAGTGAGACCGCTTTCCCTGTGCGAGGCCTTAAGGACCCAGCCACCGCCCGAGGAGCTCCCCAAGTCCCCAGCAGGCAGGGCAAAAGCGTCTCATTCCCCAACCACTTTTGTAAATTTTCATTTCTGCCGTTTGTCTCTAGATGAGGATATAAACAGGATAAACTTGAAACTTGCATGCCACTAAGCAACCGCATGCGGTGCACTATGGATTGTGATTTTTAGATAAAAATGTGCAAATAACACACATTGCATTTTGTGTGTGTGTGTGTGTGTGTGTGTGTATGTGTCCCGAATTCTAACTTTTGACTCAATAAATATTCGTTAAACACCTAGGACTTGTTAGTTGTTTAAACATTTAAAGTATGGCACAATTTCCTCCTGGTCTGCAAGCACAGCCTTGAACAAAACAAGTGGGTTGGGCCTGTCTTAACCGTCCAGAAAATCTGGACTGGCCTTGTGGGGAACTCCCTAATGGCCCCAGGGCCAGTCAGAAATCTGACAGAAGTGTGGCTTGTTAGGGGAACTGAGCCCCAGCTTCACTCCCCTGGGGAGGTTAGAAAGGACGTCCTGGAGCCGGGTCAGATAGCTATGGAATTCAAGGGATATGAAGACTATGGGATTCAAGGGCTGTGAGAAGCTTCCTCCTGAGGCCACGGTGGGCAGAGAGGCAGAAAGCCAGAGCACATGTTCTCACAGAGGAATGACAGCCCTGCAAAGAGGGAGAGGATGGGGCTGAATTAGAACAGGGTGTGTAGGGATCAGATCCGCACCCAGGTGGCAATAAACCCATCGCGTGTTGCTTAGACCTTGCCGGCCTCGGAGGTCTCAATCAGCCTTGGTCTGATCTTACAGTAACCTTATTAATTGAATATAGTTTCGTCCCACCTTACACCCGCCTCACCCTGTGGCTTTGCTCTATAAAACCCTCTTGAGAAGCGGGGTCCACAGGCAACCCACTTTCTGGAACCCCTCAGTCTGTCTTAGCCAGAGCTAACTTTCAATAAATACTTCCTACTCTTCATCTCCATTGTTCCTAGAATTCATTCTTCAATTTTAGAGAACATAAACCTGATATTTTAGATATTTAACAGATTGGGAGTTATAATTATTTCCCTTACATTATTTGGATTATTTGGAGATCCTGTATCATAGACCCTATATCATTTGGAGGTCTTTAACTGAGATAATTGGTTGGAGGTTAAGAGTTTGCTTTGTTTCATAGATTCTGACTTTTTGTTTTACAGAGCCTGACTTTTTGTTTCAGAGCCTCTGGACTATGGCTCTTTCAGGTATTGTCTTAAAGTTTGAGTCTTATGTCTTGCAGTTGTATATGCCTTGAGTTTTTTCTCTATGCATTGTCTTTGTAAAGTTACATTTTATTCTTATTTTGTGTATGTTGCATTTAGACCTAGTTGCTGAAGTTGCTGAAACTGCTGGCATTCTTTGTTTTGTTGGACACTAGACAAAAAGTTGTGTTAGTCCTCTGCTTAGTGGTCTTTAACAGCAACTACAAGTAAGTTTTTCAATGCTGTAAAATGTGTCCTTTTATGAAATCTAGTTTATATTTAAGAAAAATACATGCCAAAGAATAAATCACAGGTCCCCACCCACCAGTTAAAAGATGATAGGTCACTGGACTTTCTTAAGACTTGGAGAACAGGTTTCACAGAGACGTTCTAATTCAATCCTTTATACTCTGGAGGAAATGTTGGGCCTGTTCTGCCTCAGTTTCCTTTCTGATCTGATCTGATCTTTGACACAAGAGCAAGTTGTCTTCAATAACTCACCATGAGCATGAGAAGAAAAGGCCTTTCCTGGTCTCATTTCTGATCTTTCTGGGCCACTTTCCACTATCCTTAGAGAGGCACATAAAATTAGAGAAAGAAAGGATCTAAAACTGACCCAACCTTTTCCAAATAAGGACCTTTAAATTTTGAACCCATAGAAAATTATCATTTTGCTAACACCAAAGACAAGGCAGTCATCTTCTGTGAGGAACAGCTTTTTGAGGTGAGAACCCCAGCCTGCTCTCTCTCCCCGCTTCTAGGTCTGTTTTTCATCATTTATGTGTGTAGGGGAGGAAAATACCTTTGTGGATTTTAATAAGTTGTGGATTTTAAAACCTTTACTGTTAACTTTTTTTTTGGTGGCTTAGGCTTTTATTTGGACTTTTTCTCTCTGCTAGTAAGTTTAAAACTCCCCCTAAGCTTTTCTCCAACTCACTGGGAGTTAACTTTAGAATCACCTTGGAGTCAGACCACCCTTCCCTCCAGGAAGTCAGGCTGAGGCAGCTTGGAACAGTTAGCCTTTCACAAAGGAAAATGGCAATCAGCTAGCAACACACACTTGTGTGTGTGTGTGTGTGTGTGTGTGTGTGTGTGTGTGTGTTTAATATACTAACTAGGATAAAAAGAGATTTTAGTCAGACTCTTTTTTTCTGGTGCACATAGGAAACATAACTGTACCTTTACTAACATGTGAATCGTGGCTGCTAAGCAATGAATATAATTTTAACCTTTGAAGCTTCAGAGACACAAATTTTTAGATTAAACCTTGAATGAAGCATAGCCTTGCCTTGCTGCTAAGAAAGCTGCCTAGATAATCAGATATATATTAGATCTTTCCAGGATGGAAAGTGCTGCCCTTTAATTTATCTGCCTCGGTCTCTCTCTTTCAAAGAATTAGAAAGCAGTGGTTTAGATCTCTTGGTTACTGCCTTTGCTAGCAATGATTCCTTCTTTAAACGTGATTGTTCTAGATGAAATCAAATGTAACCTGTGCTTTTAAAATATCTGCTGGAGTTAAAAATTTGAGCTTCCTGGGAGGATAGGGCCACTGAGCTGGTAAAAGGCTGGTCCAACCCAGCCTATCTTCCAGTTCCTCCAGATGGCCGCCATCCTCTTGGAGTGAGTAACCTTGGGGACACCTTGATGATAAAGGACTCAAGTAGAAGTTAAAAGTGATGCCGATTTCTTCCTTTGGATTCTTTTGGGGAGCTCAGTATCAAAATCACTTACTCCTTTAAAATGTACCAAAGTGAAAGAAGCCACGTTGTTAGCACCAGTGACTGAGCTGGAGGCTCAATGAAGAAAGAGGGCATGGAGTTGCTGGCATCCTTAGGACAAAATGGAATACAGAGGAAAGTATTACTTATGATACTATTTCACAGCTAGAATCATACTATAAGAGAGAAAATGATCAAAACTGTTTATGTTCAGACTTTCTTTGCTTTAAAGAAGTAATCCTTGCTTGTGTTCAAAATGTAAATGTAAGCTTCAGGAAAACCAGGCACCTTAAGACATTACCACTGAGCCTGAGGCTACTCCTCACTCCTCACCCTGTAGACCCTGAGAACAAGTTCCCAGGTCAACTTTAACCAAAGCCTTGGCCACTGTTACTACTGAGTCTGAGGCTTCCCCTTCTCACCTTCTGGTACTGAGGGCAGGGCTTCTGGGCCAGCCATAATGTAAACTTCTCCGGGCTGTATCCATCCTTCCCTAATTTATTCAGGCCCATTAAAGACAGTGTCCTCTTCTGGAAGTAAATGGCAACACGGGACTACTCTGGTTTACATGTCCTTTCCTCTCAGTGACCTAAGACAGATCAAAGGAGACAGAAAAGTTTTCAGACAACCCTAATGAGTACATTGAGGTCTTTAGAAGACTTACATAGACCTATGAACTAGGTTGGAAAGATGTAATGTTACTCTTAAACACTGACAGACAAGCAGCATTACAAGCTGCTACTACGTTTGGAGAGAAATACTGTCTTAATTTTACAAGGTCAAAAGACAGGCAGCTAGGGAAACAGCCAATTCCTACTGGAGCACAAAGAGTCCCCATACAAGGCCCCCACTGGCCTGCCAACCAGACAGGAGTTTAGAGTAGGAGACTTTTTTCAGGCTTCTTCTTTTTTTTTTTTTTTTTTTTTGTACCAAACCTTGTGCTTGCAAGGTAGGAGGTGGAACCACTAAGCTAAATCCC